CTGCCGCTGGTGTTTGTGGACAACCTGTTAGGCGGAATAAGTCAGGGAAGGAGCTGGGAAAGGCTATTGTGAACACAGCAGCTCAAGTTCTTATTGGTGTCCCTATTTTTGGACTGGGTGGTAATTCCTCTCAACAGCAACAGCAACAGCCACAACAACAACCACAGCAACAGCAATACCAACAGCAGCAGCAGAAACATCCACAACAACAACCACATCGACAACAATACCAACAGAGACAGCAATACCAACAGCAGCGGCAACAACAACAACAACAGCAATTGGTGGGTGGTGGTGTTTGGCCTGTTGGGTTTATATCTGCAGGTGCCAATGATATGCAAGGAGTTGGTATTAGTATTGATTTTGGAAGCAGTACTAATGCCACTACTGATCCGTCGCCATTCGGATCCACCTACACTGAGGCTGACTATTTCGGTGGAACTGGAGGAGTGGGAGATACGATTATACCGTATACATTTGATTTGAGATATTAATTCTATATTTATCTTGCAGAAATAAACATGATTGTTTGTCTCCAGTTAGGATTTTGGTTCCTCACTATGTTAGGATTTTAGTTACTTACCTATTTGTCTAGTCCAATTATAATTAAGATTTATTTCCTATTGTAATTTAGATTTATTTTCTATTGTAATTTAGATTTATTTCCTATTTTATTTAGGGTTGTACTTATATAAATACCTCCATATTGGAGAAGAATAAAAATATGAGTGTATCTTAGCATAACTGAATATTTGCCCTACTTTGTTTGACATGGTATCAGAGCCAGGTTTTCTTGTGACCCGTGTTTGCGTTCTCCTTGCAATTTAAGTGTTCTCCTCCCCTCCTCTTCAAGGGGGGGAGGGGGGAGTGAAAAGGATATGTTTATTGATGTATCCCCATTAGCTTGACATATTCCCGTGAAGATGTTGCTTATTTCTTGACTCCGACGACCTCTTCTCTTCAGGGAGAGAGGAGGAGTGAAGAGAAGTTGTCTACTATCGCAATTGATGTTACCGTTGCCGCTATTGTTGCCGTTGATGTTGCCTTTGTTTGTATACAGATGCTGATTGGGCAGGTTCAGCCACAGATAGGCGTTCGACATCTGGGTATTTTATGTTTGTGGGTGGCAATCTTGTTACGTGGAGGAGCAAGAAACAAAAGGTGGTGTCTAGATCTAGTGCTGAGGCCGAGTATCGGGGAATGGCCCATGGTGTATCTGAGTTACTATGGTTGAGGAGATTGTTGAAAGACCTTGGTTTTGGGCCTAATAAACCCATGGATTTATATTGTGACAATACGGCTGCGATTGCAATTGCTCATAATCCTGTACAACATGACCGTACAAAACATGTGGAGGTTGATCGAAATTTCATTAAAGAAAAGTTGGATGCGGAGATTGTGTCCTTCCCTTTCATCCGTTCAGAGTATCAGTTAGCTGATGTTCTTACAAAAGCTGTTTCTACAAGTATCTTTCTCAACTCGCTTGACAAGTTGGGCATGCGTGACGTCTTTGCTCCAACTTGAGGGGGAGTGTTGGCGAGTAGAATATATCCTATTCTATTTGGGTTTTATTTATTTTTCCTTTTGTATAGATATTATATAATTAGGATTCCACTTATTTCCTAATTAAACTCTACTAGGGTTTGTAACCTGTATTATAAATACCTCCTTTCGGAGAATGAAATATCTCTGAAAATATTCTACCCATATTATTTGACTGTCTAGAGGTAGCTCACAGCTGGAGCAAATGATTTCATCATCCTCTTGCACTTGATATGAGCACAACTCATGGCGGTGGCTGAAATGCTTCACCATCGATCTTAATTTCACCTCTTCTCTCTCTCTCTCTCTCTCTCCGTTGGCTTTCTTTATTTTTCTCCGATTGGATGATCTTCTAATGAATCATATATTATTATGTATGATATGATTTTTGAGAGAGGAAGATGTATGGTTAGAGTCAACTAAAATGTGGCGACGACTAAAATGTGGTCAGATAAAGTGGTCTGAAATGTATGGTAAGAGTCAACTTATTCCCATCTCAATATATTTTGACTGGGTCTTGGATCTACCAATAATATGATATACATATGATTCCTTTGACTTTTGCTAGCCCTTTCCCATGCTTCTTCCCTTATAATTAGTAAGGTATTTATTTGTGCAGAGTTTTGGAGCATGAGAGGATTTATCTTGATACCAAAAAAAACACAGGTGCTAGCACTTTAATTACAAAGGTATATTTTCCTATATTGAAGTAGCAATACATAACCCAATCCCTCGAATCTTTGATATAGGATGAAGTGGTTACGAGATGAGAATGTCAACTGCTGAACCAGCAACAAAAAAAAACAGAAGAATTAAGCCGATTGGTTTTCTCATGTCTTTCAGGTTGCTTTTACTTGGTATTTTTCCAACTTAAATTAGAGACTAGTGTATCAAAATAAATTATATGGCTGAATTTTTTTAAATTAACTGAGGAGTGAATTCGAACTTGAGACCTCTGCCAGTAGTATTTTGAAAAAAGGAAATATCACTAGATCAACAGTTAGTTGATCTTATAGTTTATAAATTTTTCAGACTATCATCTGAGATCTGGCTCCTACTAATTAAAGTCAATATCAGGGTGCAAATATTAATTTATTTTAGGTATGCAAATCACTCTTTCTTATTTTCTAGCTAGTTGGGTGATCATTATTATTCCCTATTGCCACAAGAAGGTCGACGTCAACTGCATTTTGCAATTTGGTTAATACACTTCGAACGTATCCTTCTACCAACATTCTGTATAATAATATTAAATAAGCACAGGGCATAATGAACTCAAAAGGCACACATCTCATCTTTAGTGGATATAGTCTGTGACTTGGTTGCTATATATCTCTCTGGGTGCTTCCACCAAAAAAAAAAAAAATCCCTCTGGGTGCCATCTATTCTTTGACAAAATATTTGGAACACTCTGTCTCTGTCGCCCTTTGCCTCTCCCTTGAATGGCAAAATATAAGGATAATATCTAAAGATTCTAAACATGTAGGTTTGATATATTTGATGGGTTCAAGTAAGCTAGTGTATATGTAACTGAGAAATAAGAAAAATGTAGATATTGTTTAGGTGAATTACTCATGAGTTTTAGAATCTTTTCCTATTGAGAGTGCGATAACATACTAAACTCACACACATTATACGGTTGCTAAGACTCAAACCCAAGATCATTCATGAGGGCAACATTTGCTTCCTCCAAACCACTACACTAATGAGTCCTTTGCGAGACAAGAATAATATAATGTACTTTAAGGGTGGCAAAATATTCTTCAACATAAGGTTGCCTTACGTCACGTATATATTTAATTTTTAGCGTACTTGTTAGCTTAAGTAAACTTATTTGATTACCTTACTGCTCTTTTCTTTGCATATATACCCTTCTTGTTCCATCGGGAAAAATAGCAGCAGCAACAACCCTGCAGATGATCAAACGAGGAAGGATTGACTTTTGGAGTCTTTGCATATATCAAGACATAGCCACCCTACCAGCAACTTGCTTCACTTGCTTCCAAGTAGTACTCAAGAATCAATTAATAATTTCATTGAAAAAAATGTTTCACCACCAATATCATTGGTTATATAAATGCTATATACATATATATTGACCCGGCAATATGTCTCATTATGGTTAAGTTGACTAAGGCTAGCTAGACTCAATATGATGCACAGAATTGCATGAAATTATTATAAGAGCACAATCTAAGTTGAGACTTTTGAGAGAACAAGAGATCATCAGAAAAAGGAATTTCTGTGGGTGGGTGAGAGAGAGAGAGAGAGAGAGTGAGAGAGAGATGAAGCTGAATGGTCAACTTCAGCCTGATCTTCAACATTTTAGCCACCCCCATCCCTTAAGACTTTACAATCACCAACCCCTGCAGCAAACCCTAAACCTGCAGCAGCAGCAGCAGCTATTCTCATGTGCATGCTGCAAACTCAATGTCTCTGGTGGATGGATTTATAGTTGCACACCATGCAATTACTTCCTCCACATACCATGCTCACAAATGCCTCAGCAAATCACTCACCCATATGATCATCAAAGCCATGTCCTGATTCTGATCCCAACCCCAACAAATCCAGATGGGGTCTTTAGTTGCGATGCATGCATGAAGCATGGGAATGGCTTTGCCTACCATTGTGGAGTTTGCAGCATTGACCTCCACCCATCTTGTGCTTCAAAGCCATTGGTTCTCACTCACCAATCCCACGCTCACCAGCTCAGTCTCTCTTTCTCACGTCCTCCAGGATTTAACAACAGCAAGACCTTCATATGTAATATATGCAACCAAGTTGGGTACAAAGTGTGGCTCTACATGTGCAATCCGTGTGGTTTCACTGCCCATTTGGGCTGCGCCACGGCGAAACCAAGAGCTCCTCCTCCTCCTCCCTCAAATCAACAAATTCAAGCAGCAGCACAAGCAGCTTTTGTTGGAACTCCATGTTTTCCAACAAGTACTATTTCAGCTAGTCCTCATCAGTTCCAAAACTATGTGCCAAATAATAGTTTGAATAATAATAATTATAATAATGGCAATATCACTGCCGCTGGTGTTTGTGGACAACCTGTTAGGCGGAATAAGTCAGGGAAGGAGCTGGGAAAGGCTATCGTGAACACAGCAGCTCAAGTTCTTATTGGTGTCCCTATTTTTGGACTGGGTGCTAATTCCTCTCAACAGCAACAGCAACACCCACAACAACCACCACAGCAACAGCAATACCAACAGCAGCAGCAGCAGCAGAAACATCCACAACAACAACCACAGCGACAACAATACCAACAGAGACAGCAATACCAACAGCAGCGGCAACAACAACACCAACAGCAATTGGTGGGTGCTGGTGTTTGGCCTGTTGGGTTTATATCTGCAGGTGCTAATGATATGCAAGGAGTTGGTATTAGTATTGATTTTGGAAGCAGTACTAATGCCACTACTGATCCGTCGCCATTCGGATCCACCTACACTGAGGCTGACTATTTCGGTGGAACTGGAGGAGTGGGAGATACGATTATACCGTATACATTTGATTTGAGATATTAATTCTATATTTATCTTGCAGAAATAAACATGATTGTTTGTCTCCATTTTTTTTTGGTCTGAACCACGAGGTGGTCCTGGATGGGCCCCAACTATGGGTGGCACCTTTAAGCCTTAACCACAACCCAGACTAATCCCCGCTCACATCGGGTCGGCCCATAAGGGGTAAAGTGTTGGCCAAAGTGGTGACTCCATTGTTTGTCTCCATTTCAATACGCTATATTGAATTTACTGATTTCTTTTTCCATTTCCTTTCTTTGACAAAGTTTTCTTTAGAATAGAATTTTCAAAATTCAAATTGGCAGCTATTGTAGTAATTAATTTTGTAGCATTTCTTTTTCCAGTTAATTTTGTAGTCAATGACAAGGAAATAATAATAAGAAAATAGTGAATAGTAAATGAAGGGCATGTTTACGTATCAGTAATGGGTATGGGAAGAAAGGGAATGATTTCCATTCCTGACTTCCCCTACGTTTACTTGCAATCAGGAATGAAAAAATAAGTGGGCCCCACCTCAAAATCCGTAATCATATCCCCTCAAAACTAGGTATCAGATCAACTAGGGGGGAGTAGTCGATACGATTCCCATTCCTGTTTTATCTTAATAACTTCCAAAAATACCCTTACCATTTTACCATAATTCCCAAACACCCAAAACCCTAAAAATAAAAAAATAAAAAAATTAAAAACTCACTCCAAGAAGTTCCAAGACACTCCAACTTCTTTTTCACGTTAGCGTTGTAGACACAACCTCCCAGAAGCAGCAGCAACGCCTTGTGCTATGTAAGTCATTCTATCTATTTATCCATCTATCTATCTATTTTCTTCTTCTTCTTCTTCTAACTTCTGTCTTCACATTCATCACAAAATAGGTTATTATTATTTGATTGTTTACTAGTTACGTAGGTGAAAGATATATATTTATTGGAGTTTATTTTTTCGTTTGAAATTGGCTCTGGACAAAGGTGTTATTAACATTATAATTGAATTGGGCTCTTATTGTTCACCTTGTTCAACATATGAGTCCTCATGCTTACACCACCTTACTGGTTTGCTGCAGGATTAGTTTGATCTCCTTAGCCAATTTGAGAATTATATGTGTTGTGGTGAAAATGTGCAGGGCATTTTAGTAATCAAATTAAATTGGATTTGGATTCATGAAAATTAGTAAACAATAACAATGGGAATCAACCCCATTCCTTTGCTAATTTCATATGTTTAGTAAACAACTTAATGGGAATGATTCTTCCCATACCGATTCAGTAGTTTCCCGATTCCTAAATTCTCTGATTCAGTACTTTCTCCATTACAGATACGTAAACATGCCCGAAGATTAAAAAAAAACGTTATTTACACTAACACCACCTAAGGTTTTCAGTTTCATAAAACTCCCTGAGATTTCAAAAATTACACGAACATCCCCTAAGATTTATATTGTTTTCACAAAACTCATTTCCTTTTATTTTTCATCCAAAAATTGATGATTTTATATAATAAAAAATTCTCCAAATGACAATGTTAGCCTTTGAGATTAGATTGCACATGCATTCATTGAGGTTAAAGTTGTAATTTACTTAAGTTTTTTTTTTAATGAAATTGTCAATTTTTAGATGAAATCAATGAAAATGGACTTTGCAAAAACAATATGAAACCTCAGAGGATGTTCGTGTAAATAACTATAAAAAAATTACTTTTGGTGCCGAGGTCATCTCCTAGAAATTTAATAAATTTTCACACCAAAGA